CTACCCAAAACACTGAACAGCAAAAACCAAAGAATAATTCATACACGTTGCCAACTTTGAACTTGACCACTCATCAATCTGAAGTGCTGCTATCAGCCAATGTCTTCATATATTTCTGAGATGCTGGTGTGGAGACTGTTGGTATGCTGTAACTCTAATGGAATCTGTGATGGCAGGCAATTCAATTCATGTTGCAGCATATCACAGCTTCAATTAAGAGCACCATTGACTTAGAGTGGATTAGGTGTACTGGTTGTTCACTTCACTACCAACGAATAGTAGATGGTATTGTGAGATGTCTCACAAGAATTTACATTCTTTGGTGGGGTAAGTGGACAAACAGGTTGATGACTGAATCAGCCAGGCAAAGGTCCACAAGGAGGAAGATTAAGATACTGAAACATCAGTAAGTCATTAGGTAAGTAATGCTTCTTCATCTTTGCTTTGTAATATCTTGCCCATACCAGCCCTGGAAATTGGCAGACAGCAGTTATTGAATTACTGGAATAATATATTCCAATTGCTCACATGAGCATCAATAGATGTTTCATAAGTTGAAGAAAGTAACCCTGGTGACAAGCAACTCCAACTACCATGCCTTCACATGCTCTTGTCTCAAACCTCTGGTATTGAGTAATTTGTTGATAACATTGTCACCTACAGACGGATTACGTACAAGAAACCTATTCTGATCTTGAGCTCCATCTCTTCCTTACTTTGCAGACTTGTTTCCTTCTTCCCAGTGTATTAGAACATAATTGTCAGAAGATGGTCAGAGTTCATTCTGCCCTCTATCTGAAAATAATTATATTTCAATCAATTGTGTGGGAAATTCTTTTCTGACTCAAATGGCTCTTGTTTATATGTGGGTAGGAATGAAGTGACATTACTTTATAATTGACTTGCAATCTTCAGGTTACCTGTTTCAGCGTGAAACACTAATGTCAGGATTCGGTGTATATTTTGTAATTAAATTTATTAACTATTTCCTAGGTAGGAAGTTTTACTTAATAGTTTCTGCATTTTTTATTTATCTAATTTGTTATTATGGGTATATCCCTTGAGTAGTTGCATTATTTTGGGCATATTATTGTGTTCAGGATTGATCTTGTGAACATAAATATATAAACATCAGATTTTTAAGGTTCATTATATTCCTTCAGTTACTTCATTATGGTGGCCATATTATTATGTTCAGCATTGAAGGTGTGAACATTTACATATTTAAGATTTTCAAGGTTCATTATATTGCTTCAATAATTTCATTATGTTGGCCATATTATTGTGTTCAGCA